TATGTTGGTTGATGAACAGAAGGGAGACTCCTCCTTTACTCAATTTTGCTGCACTAGAATGTCCTCTGTGGTGGTTGTCCAGGTTGCTATTGAAGTTGTTCGTGTGTTGATGTTTGAAAGCCAGTACAATTCACGTGTTCTGTGCCTATATGAATTGTCCCCAATGTTGGTATGATTGAAATATGCTGAGCTTACCTTGTATCTGACTTGGTTTTCTTGGGGACAAGAAAACGGTTAAGTGTGGGGGTATTTGATGACTTGATATATACACGTGTTTTTGTCCACCATTCTTACACCGTTTGAGTCTTATTTCTCGTGTTTTAGGCCAATTTCACGCTAGGTTGTTCTTGTTTGTGATATTTCTGGTCCTAGTACGTGAATGAAGGTTTGGGAACGAGTTCGGGGTCGATTGGACAAAGATTGCACATCTGGCGAGAAGCTGAGGAAGCCACACGGGCACGCCTAAAAACCCACACAGCCGTGTGACCTGGCCGTGTGACACCAAATCTCACGGGCAAGCCACACTGGCCGTGTGGAAATTCCAGGGAACTTACACGGGTAGCCTGGAAATCCACACGGTCGTGTGGTTTTGGCCGTGTAGCATGCCTGAAGTCCACTTATCAAAATGCAGCATTTTGCACACTCACACGGGCACGCCTAAAAATCCAATCGGCCGTGTGGTCGGGAATTTCTGGGTTTTAACCCAAATTCGAGCCAAAGGAGAGAGAATCGACTTATTGGAGCAAAAATAGAGCCCTAGAGAGAGAAAGTGCGAAGAACACATCCTAGAAGTGATTTTGGAGCTGGGTTACATCAATCGAGCTTGGAGATCATCATCCCAGAGCAGATTCTTCCCATTGTTATGAGTATGACTACTTTGTATTCTGTTTTCCTCTCTCTCCCTATGGAGTATAACTTTCTCTCACTTGGGTATGAAGAACCCTAGTTCCATGTGTTAGGAATCTTGATTGTAATTACGTTTGGATTGTGATATTGCTTGATTATAATCGATTGAAGTGTTTTGATTGAGTCAATTGAAGTCTGATCATCTTTAATTGATTTCTGCTGCAACCTGAGATAGATAGAATCTTATTACTGCTTTGTACTGGAATCTGATTCCAGTAGTGGAGTTCTGTGCTCATTGCCTCAGCATTCTATTCCGGTGAAGACTAGTCGTCTGTCGGGTAGTTTGACTGAGAGGGCTTGGTCAGCTTAAGAGATTCCAAGCTACTGTCGGATCTTCCGCAGTATAATCAGCAGTAAAGCAACCAAAAGTAATTACAACTGTGACCTAACTAAGGAGCTAGGGGGACTCATTCGCGAGTGACTCTTCCTTTGCTTTAGAAAACCGAACCATTTCCTGCTTTCTTCCTGCTTTTACTTAAATCAACAATCACTCAACTTAGTTTGCTAGATAACAGATATACACGGAGTAGGCAGTAGATCTAGACCCCGGGTTGACAATTAGAGCTTGCCTGTTACTGCATTTCCGGACTGCGATTACACTTGGTCACAGTTTGGTGGTGTTTTAGCGTGTCAACAATCTAGGCACATTGACTAAGCGATGGAGAGACAAACCTCTGAAGAAGTGAAGAAGAATATACTTCAGGTGAAATATTCAATACAGGTTGCTCGTTTGTTAGAGTTGCAAGGGCATGCTTTTAGAAGCCATGATGAGTTTATTGAGTCAACTAATCAGGCAACTTTATCGAGCATCTTCAATTTTTATCCAATAACAATGAAGAAAAATAGATAGTGTGGTGTTGGATATGGCTCCACTGAATGCGAAGTACATATCGCCTGAGATTCAGAAGCAAATTCTGCATGTCTTGGCTAAGAAGGTAAGGACCCATATCTTTGAAGAAGTTGGAGATTCTAAATTTTCCATAATTGTGGATGAGGCGAGTGATGAAAGAAATCATGAACAAATGGCGATTGTTCTTTGCTTCGTTGATGCTAAAGGTTTGATACAAGAGCACTTCTTTGATATTGTTCATGTGGAAGATACAACATCAAAGACTTTGTATTCTGCAATTCGCTTAGCTCTTTCTTTCTATAAGTACCCAATTCAAAATCTTCGTGGACAAGGATATGATGGTGCTAGTAACATGCGTGGTGAGTGGAATGGATTGCATGCATTATTTTAGAAGGACTCTCCTCAAGCATATTATGTACACTGTATTGCTCATCGTCTTCAGTTATCATTACTTGCAGCTGCTAGAGATGTTTTTGGGTCCATGAGTTTTTCACAATCTTATCAAGCATCGTAACCGCTGTTACTGGATCTTGTGTTACATCCCACTTTTTTTAAACATGTAAAAGACATTTCTACCCCGGGGTATATTTAAATTTATACATAAACACATTTGAAATAAAATACACCAAACTTTAATAATTTGAAATCTCAAATGACAAGCCCTAAACATGTGGGCAAAATCCCAAATCATATTCTTAAAAGAAATAAACGACAAGAATCTCCAGTTCTTAACTTTCAACCACAAAGTCCAAATAACTTAAAAGTTTTCCCCAACACTTACAGTGATGCTTGGTCTGCCATTCTTTAACGACGCTGATGTTGAGCCCCTCTAACCTGTTGTCCACGAACTATCTGATCTTGATCTCCTCCTCTACGATCTGGTGAGTGAGTTGGGGTCAGTCTACGCCATTACTCAAACTTGGAACACTTACGGATTATTACCTTAAGTGATCCTCAAACAATAAATTGATGGAAGTTGATTATATTTCCTCCCTTTAAACTTTAACTCTTAAAAAAAATGTGGGAGTTACTCTTAACCCCACTCTAAAAACTTTAAAACTTTGACAGACACTGGGATCCCCCACTAGCTAGTCCGGTTGCCCAACTCATACGTATGAGAGCCCATCTAGGCTTCTTTAAACTTAAACTTAGTTAGGGGAGTCGTAACGATCATCCCCCCTAACATCTTATACTTATCGTGGTGGCTCTTCACCATGATTCTCGAGAGCATAACTGTTGCTCATCTTAAAAATCTCAGAGCATAACTGCTGCTCATCTCAAAATCTCATATGGGCAAATGACTGCGCTCGCGACTAAAAACTCTTAAAACTTTTCGCCTTCCTTGAAGGTGAAATACTCCTTAAAAGTAACTTACTAGTAATTAAATACATGTCAACAACTGTATAACTGAAAACATGACTTACATGTAATATCAAGCATCATGTAAACATACATAAGCATATATGACAAATAGCAACAAATCTCAAACGTAATTACTGTAAGGTTAATACTTGAAAATATGTAGGCGTAGATTTTACCCCCTTTACACTCACTTCTCAAGTGCCGATATTTTAATTCTTTGGACGCAGAGTCCCTTAACCCGATCGCTTCCTTAATCCTACTAACCGAAAATGTATTCCCTTAGTCAGTATTCCTCAACTTAGTTCATTTAACGTACTAGGAGATTTCTTTCCTTAATTGCTTAGTCCCAAAATCCTTTTAAAAGGCCTTAATATCTTTAAAATAATATCCTCAAACAAGATAGTTTTCCAACATGTCCAATACGTAATTTATATCAATAAAATTAATAACGCTTTGAATAAACTTCTCAAAATCGTCATAAAATTTATTATAATATATTTTCCACTTTAAAAAAATTTCAAATTCTGACCTTGGGTAACTCAAATCATTAATCAAAATTGTTAACCATAAATCAAACGTTGAAAATCCCTTTTCCTATTAAATTTTACCATAGAATAATTTTACGACCAAGTTATGAACGCATGTAATTCTGACCCATAATTTTATAACATCCATACATAATCCTAGTTTCATGGAAAATTATCTAATCCCCGAAACAACTTCGTACAGTATATTATTTAATGCAACCCAACATTCATTCAATTTTTAAAACTACAAATACAGATCCAAAAATTCTAACATTTATATAAGAGCATCCAAAGAATTACTTCTAACTTCTAAAATTATCAGGTTATGAAATGCCCACCAGGAAGCGTTGGAAAATAACTATAACCATGAAAAATATGATTTTTTAGCCAAATTGTCAAAACTTAAAATATTGGGACTAAGCTGCTCGCACTGAATGCTTGAGGGACCGATCTGGTTATTTCCCAAACACAATTGCAAACGTATCCTCATATTTTCGAATTAGCTTAAATGGTACCTGAACTGATAGGTTTTCGTTCCAATCGGAAACCCTCGTCCGACGTCGGAATTCAATTTCGTCAAGATGGTGACGATCCTGGGACCTTCCTCTTTGAAACCGTACCCACGTTTCAAAGTATTGTTGAAGTCGATCCTGCCGGAGCCGCCGTCGAAGCTACGACCATTATATTCATGTGTTGGTGTTAGCTTTGATGGAAATCAACTAGGAGATCGATTGGGATGAGATCTTACCTTCAAGGCTACCCTAGGGCTAGGTACGGGCTGTTTAACCTTCGAAGCTACTGGTATCGGGAGAGTGCGTGCGTGAGAAGCGATGAGGTAGCTGCTAGTTACGTGGTCATTAACCGACAATGACGATAATGACGACGTCGAGAAGCTTTTGGCGATTGTGTTGCTTTGGTGAAATGAACATGGAAGGAGTGGATGGACACGATGATGATGGAATGATGATAGGGTAAGGGTCTAATGAGCTAGTATTGAGAGAGGTGTGAGAGATGAGATGCAGGCCTCATGGAGATGGTGTGAGGCTGAAGAAAAAATGGTGTGTTGCACCAAAAGGGAGGAGGAGGATATCATTTAAGCTATGGAGCACCGACACTGTGTCTCACAGTTGTCAACCCATAACTTAATAAGCTGCCTGCTCGTGGTTATAATGGGATGGAGTCGATTGTCTTGACAATTAATGTTGTGTCGTGGTGGGTTACTACAATTGGATAGGTTATGAGTGTCCACTAGTAGCTTGGTCACAATTATCGTAAAAGAAGTCTTGTACGGGAGGTAACTAATTTAACATTTTCGCTTCAAGCAATCTCAAACCTGAGGACGTCGTAAGGCCTTTGCGTCAAAAGGAAAATGAGTCCTTGTGCCAATTGGGTTAATTGCGCCACGTACTTTGGGTTCAACTTTTGGGTTTCAGTTCTTGTAATTAATAATTTACCATATTCATAAGTGTAATTTTGGGTTGCGAGATAATGGAACGAGTAGATGATGAGCTGATGGGTCAATTTGCAACTTTCCTTTGGATGATATGGTATGAGCGAAATAACCAAATGTTCAATCGGAGGAAAGCGGAGGAGTGGGAAGTGGTAGGAAAGGCGCGAAGCTACTGGGAAGAATTCAGTCTTTATCACAGACAAGAGAAATCAGAGAGGGAGCCGGATTTGGTTACCTGGAGACGCCCGCCGCCGGGATGGGTCAAGGTAAATGTTGATGCCGCAGTGTTGAAGGGAGAGGGAACTGGAATGGGGATGATTATACGCGACAGCGAGGGAGTCTTCTTGCGTGCGGCGGTCCGAAGAGAGAGGAAGTGCTGGCCCCCAGAAATTGCCGAGATCAAGGCGGTGGAGTTCGGATTGAAGCACCTGGAAATGAGCGGTCATCGGCAGGCGGTGGTAGAGACGGATTGCCAACAGGTCGTGCATGCGCTCCGAAGCAAAAGTCAGACAAGGTTGGAAGCGGGCCCTCTGATTAGTGAAATGCAGGCTACAGCCCAACGTTTGGGATCCATCAGGTGGGATTTTGTGAAAAGAAATGGCAATGAGCCGGCCCACACAATGGCACACACTAGATGTAACTGGGAGGAGGAGGAGTGCTGGGACACCAGGCCTCCAATTGTTATCTTAAACAGTCTGGAAAAAGAGGCCCGAGCCTCTTAATAAAAGCTTTCAGGTTTTCCATAAAAAAAAAAAAAGTGTAATTTTGGGTTGAACCTAAACAAAAAAAAATCAGAGTGTTACATTTCCTCCACACCAATAAAAATTTCGTCCTCGAAATTGAAACTATTAGATAGGGACCGAGAGATAAACACTTGTACTTATGTGAATCGCGTTCAATTATAATTGAATTGACTGGGATGTAACATCTTGTAAGCGCCAAGATCCGTTAGAAGCTGCAGAAGCATCTAAAATTGCACTTCAGCTAGCGACAGGTGAAATTGAGACAGGAAAAGGTGCTTATCAGGATAGTACTATACAATGACCTAGTGATACCCGTTGGAGTTCACATTTGAGATCTATATCTAATCTTATCAAGTTGTATGGTTCAACTTGTAAAGTTTTGGAGAACATAATGAATGACGGAAGTAGCTCCAAAACCAAATGGGATGCTACTACAGCTTTAGAAAGAATAAAGTCATTCGATTTCGTCTTCAAGTTGTTATGATGAAGAAAATATTGGGCACCACTGATATGCTTTGTGTAGCTTTGCAACGGAAGTCTCAAGACATTCTCAATGCAATTAGATTGGTGGACTCTACAAAAAAAACTCTTGACCGAAGTTAGGGAGAAAGAGTGGGATTCTTTGCTTGCTGATGTCAATGCATTTTGCAAGCAACATGATATTGAGTCTCCTGATCTTAGTGCTCCATTTTTCAGAGGTCGATCTATTCGAAAGCGAGATGTTACAAATGAACATCATTACCATTACGATGTATTCAATGCTGCAATTGATGTTCAGATTGCATAACTAGAGTCAAGGTTTAATGATAGAGTGGTGGAACTACTAAAGTTGAGCTCAAGTTAGGTTCCTAAAGATGGGTATAAGACGTTCGACATTGCTGCTATCTGTAAGCTTGCAAAGGAGTATTATCCTCTTGATTTTTCAGAAGAGGAAATGGATACATTAGAGTTCCAGTTGGGGCTTTTTCGAATTGAAATTCCTAACCATTCTTCTTTGCAGAAGCTATCGTCTATTTCTTAGTTATGTCATGGATTAACAAAGACAGGGCTGTCAAAGGACTTCTATCTTGTTGACAGGCTGATTCGTCTTCTTCTCACTCTTCCAGTTTCTACTGCTACAGATGAATGTGCATTTTCGGCTATGAAGATAGTGAAGAATAGACTGCGAAACAAAATGAATGATGAATTTCTTGCTGATAGTTTAGTTATTTATATTGAAAGAGTGAGAGCTAAAAGTTTTAGTTTATATGCTATTTTGAGTGATTTCAATGATCTCAAAAAACGTCGTGTACTTCTTAAATAATTATAAAATATTATCTTAGTTAGTTATTTAATTTTCGGCTTCCGGTTTCGAATCCTGGCTCCGCCCCTGCATGAAAGGAGAAATGACGGTAAGCAATTCTGATGATCATGGTACCACACCTGCGCTTTTTCACAACTCTTATTAAACATTATCATGAGATTTTTTTGAAAATTTGAGTGTCTTTTTCACAATTACGCCAAATATGGTACAAGAGAATGTTACCAAACTAGTCCACCAACTGAGGGAATTATTCGAAGCATTATTATGACCCAAATACAGATAGGTTAATGGAATTATCGTGAGTATTAGCAAAAAAGAGAAATTCTAACCACTAACTTATCTATCTATACATAATATTATGGCAATTTAAAAGTAATTGTTTGTCAGCTAAGCACTTAGAGAATTCAGGAATTGTCAAGGTGGACAATATTTTTACCAAAAAGAAATTAGTTATTGATATATTTATGAAGCTATCTCTCTATTCATTTTCCTTTATCCCATTTTTTTTGTTTTTGCATTATATCAATGTACCTGATAATACATAATGTATGATGAGTGGCATATATTACATTTGCTATCTCTAACTTGAGCACTTCTACTATGCTATATAGCATTGGTGCTTTAATGTACAACTTGAAGTTGTACCATAACATTAAATGTATAAGTTTAGGTTGTACCATAAAGAAATTTGTATCATTATGTTATGGTACAACTTTACAACTTGAAGTTGTACCGTCACATAAGGTACAAGTTTAAGTTGTACCATAAAAGAATTTGTACAAAAAGTATAGGTACAATCTGAAGTTGTACCGTAACGTTAAAGGTACAATTTCAAGTTGTACCATAAATGCAAAAACCTATAGCACCAATGCTATATAGCATTGTAAAATTCCTCCTCTAACTTTTGTTAATATTTATTTTTCTTTTACCCTATAATTCCTTTATGTTTTTGTTTTTGCTTTTGCATTGTATCGATCTACGCTACAATAGACTAATGTATTTAAGTCACACATGTAACTTTTTTTTAACCCGAAAATATCTTATTTAAGCTTACCAAGTAAACTTTATACTCATTTTTACTAAAATTTAAAAATATGTTACATTTTGATGAACAATTTATACAAACACAAATATATAATAATATTTTATTGCAACAAAATAACGATATAAAGAGAGAAAACAAGAAATGTTTTAATAGAAACTTGACCAAGCAATAATAGCTATTTCTTAAAGAAAAATCTATTCATGCGGATTAAGTGAAAATATATTAATACAATGTACCCTAAGTTCAAATTCCTAATAATTTGATCTAGATCATGTTAATTAAGCAAACTCTATTGAAGTCTTACGTCATATGTTAAGAAATTTAATTTTCAGACTTGGAGTTATTAAATGTCAAAGATTATAAATCATAGTTTTCAAAATGACTTCGAAATGATTGTCGATGAACTGGACTTCGTATCCTAGGATGAGACACGAAATACATTGAAAAATGATACATGTGAAAGTTAGAGGAATCTTTGCTAAGGATGTACGTTCAACATCATGATTCATCAACCACTAACTTATGCATTAATCAAATAAAGGTTTAAATTTTTCCTTTAATATTTGAATTTCTTGATAGACAAAATTAAATTCGACGATTGAGGCAATGAATAAACATGACTGTGTTACTTGAGATATGTAAACAAAAAACTTTTATACGTACAAGAGTCTAAACGGATGACTTGGTTAAAATGAATAATCTTTAATAGTGATGAATTCAGTAAGACAATTGTAGAAGTCATTTGGATATATGTTTGTGAGCATGTGATTCAATTTTTGTTGTAACAAAAACTTTTCTGATATCAAAGTCCCGGAATAAAATTATTGTAGTTTGTAAGAGTAAGGAATTTATAGTTACATCGAGTTACCTTAGCAAAAAAAAGTTGTTTTTATATTCCACCCAACGAGCAGACTTAATGGTATTTATTAGGGATGAAAGTACAATAAACTTTTTATATGTATATGTTTAGCTATTAACAATAAATGTTCCTACAATACATCCTTGATTTTAAATGCATGTGAAATGTCACAATGTTTGTATGAACAAACACAATAGATAGATAAATTTTAAAGATTGCACATTCAAACATTTGGAAAATTATACACAAAAAGATCATATTAAGAAGAGAACCATCGATAATATATGTAAATGTATTGGATTGAGATTCTAAACCAACAACTAGACAACAACCATCAGTTAAGGATTGGTCCAAACATAAAAAAAAAAATTAGCAATTGATACGTATTGTATAAGATACTAAATTTGAGTGCATTGAAGACAAATGTTGTCATAAGATCCTATAGCAATACTTCAAGAACATCCACAATGAAAATGAGTGAGGATTAGAGAATTTAATCATAATAAAGGATACGCTTTGTATCAAAGCGTATCAAGTTCCAATTGGGATAAACTGAATGTATCAAGTAATCAAGTATCTTTATCTAATGATTTGAACTATTATCAATCGGTTAAGAGTTCGTCCAAACTCGAGAATCACCAACTGGTATATGTTGTATAAGATAATAAATTTGAGAGTCTTGGATGACAAATCTTGATATACGATTTTAAATGGGACGTGATAAAGTTTCACGATATGATTACAGAATCAAATCATTATGGGAGAGTGTGATAACTACAAGTATTAAAATTTCCCAAAAATTAAACATATAGATAAACTAATTAATATAAATAAATAAAAATTCTCCGACTAACGAGTCGGGTAAAAAACTAGTGTTAGTATCACCGATATATTGAAAAAGGTGGTTGTAACAAATCGAGTGTCCATGTACCTAATGCGTTGTGTATAGAGAATATAGGAATATTAATAAACATATTATAAAATCAATCTTATTAATTAATTTGAAAATGTAGATTTAAATGCACATATTATAAGGAGTAAGGACGGAAATCAGTATTTTTGGACGGTCATTTTTCTGTGGAGCTAAGAGTGAGATGATATACAAATTATGGTGGATGTTAAGAGAGTATTCAATACCTCACAAATTTTTAACCAACTGTGAATTATTTATTTATCTATAACATGATAATGTTGACCATGTTATACCGATCCATACAAACTTTTTCTATGCATCTCTGCCCTATCAATCTGATTGACTTATTTATTCATCCACTTTCTTTAATATTGTGTAAGACAGTAGGGTGAAATTCAGTACGTTACCGGTACTCTAATATCAAATATCGAAATCCTGAATATTGAATTACACTATAAATTCAATTTCAATGTTAATTCCTAAATAATTTTGGTAACCCAATACCAATCCCTAAATATTTCGGTATCCCAATCAGTACTTCGGTATCCCAATTGGTATTATCGAATACGAAATTAATTACTTTAGTAATTAATAATTAGATATATAAATTAGATTTGGTTTTTTAATTAGGGCAAAGAGACTAAGCGAAGGGTCTTGAGTTTGCCAGGAGCTAGGATATGGATAAGGAGAATGAAGGAGAGCTGACATCTCAAATTCTTGTCATTGGTAATTTTTAATTTGACAAATTGGAGTATGGGAGACGACCAATACTAGTGTTTGTCTTTTAGTGTTTTGAAAATAACAAAATATTAGGAATGACCAAAGGTTGTATGCTATATTTCATTAAATTTTAAATTTTCGGTATTTTTTCGGTATTTTGATATATATCGATCTCAATCTCGTAAT